TTTTGGCAGATGATCCAGAAGTGGTTTTCCATTGCCTTCTTCTGTGTGTGAATTGAGTAATTGTTGGGATGCCACGGAGGAAAACTCCGTGTTGCCTAGACCACGGCCTTGCCCAACACAAGTTATAAATTCGGGCACCGCCGGGAATCGAACCCGAGACCCCAGGATTACAAGGCCAGCGTTCTAACCGCTAGACCACTGTGGTGGCTTATATGGTGATTAGTGAAAAATAAATTAGAAGGTACGCGGAATGAAGCGGTCATGTAGGAACTGAGATCAACCACAAATGACCTCAGACTGTTAATTACTCCACAATGACGTACGATATAAGAATAATTCTTGGATTCATGAAATTTGAAGTAGAAAGGTAAGTATGCTGATATTATTTTACTTTGTAGTCATCGTACTGGGAATCTATTGGCGCGGGCTAATTTTGGTTAAATCTATAACAGTTGGATCAACAGAATTGAAATCTGGTTGGTTAAAAGGCTATTTGTCCTACTGTATCATGAACAATGCTGTTGGCTGCGTTTGTCTTATATGGAAATGACGTATCCTCTCTCGAGTTTCGGGGATTTGTTCCTCACGCTCAGCCCTCAGCGTATGTGATGTATGTGATCATGCCTGATCAGAGCACGAACTTCCTGAATAGAGAACCACCCACGCTGGCTTCTTGGCGCTCCAGTTTCTGCCGCCCAAGGGGTAGGTTTGGTGAGCACAGTACCAAATTTCATAGGGGCATCAAGGTCTCATATCCCCGTTTGATGATCTCAACTAGTACAAAGTTTTCAAAACTGTGGTTCGCGAACATAAATTTCTCATTTATTTAATGATTATTTTCACTTCAGAATTTAACAGACAACGTTAAATAAGATTGAAAGACAATAAACGATGATTACTTAACGATGGTCTCTTCTAACAGCGTCCAAATTTATGAAACACTGTCCCAAATTTTTTTTATCGAATGACTGTGGTAAAAATTAAAAACGCGATTAAGAAAGCCGAACTTCGGGCTCAGATTTGAACCCGTGACCTTCAAAATACGAATGTGAAACGATGTTATACCATGACCTTGGTTTTAAGATTTTTATCGCTTATTTAATGAAGATTGTTCTACTGGAGGTGATTACGAATATCAAGTAGGAAAGATTAGGAGGCAATTGTAAGGTTGTATTTAAAAATTCTATGCCAGTAGTCACCTAAAGAGACTGAAATAAAACCAGCCAGAATACACAGTAAATGACCGAGATTTGAACCCGACACTTTCAAATACAAGTTACCGTTACACGGAAGTGGTAGCTTGACACTTTTTGGGCTACATGAAATATCTCAGGAAAAAGAAATAGGAATATAATTATAACTGAGAATTTCTTTGTATGCCGGAGCTATTTTGAGAAAAATTAAGAAGAAACTTGATAGCGGTAGTTTCTCTTTGTTTTACAACATATTACGTCTTATATTCTATTCAAAACGCATTTTTATAACTGTGGTTTAAATAGTTATTCTCACTTCCAATTTATTTTAATCGCAGTGTTTATGGAAATGGCAGCAGTTATAACGATAAAAACAACAATAATTTTATCTAATTCATTTTAGTCTTACACTGTCTGCCAACAGCGAGAAGTCAATAACAGGCAAACACTGATAGAACCATAAAAACTAATAAAATACGCTAAAATATAAACAAAATAAATAATAAATCAAGACCCTTTCTCGCACAGAGAAAGTATCATCAAATAAGACAATGTTTTTGCTAAATAAAACCAAATATCTGCAAGTGTAATAGCAGCACTGATGCTTCTAGCTGGAAGATTATGTCTTAACGCATTACTCACGCTGAAAGTAGATAACTCTCTTATTTGCCTTGTAGGCACGTGAATACTTAGTGTCCACGGTGGAAAGGCAATTTATTTAGCAGTTAATAAAAGAATATACAGTATGTCGTCGCCTTGAATATAGTGTTTTAACGTTAAAACAATTTAATATCAGATCATAATTGCGTAAAATATCAAACTGAATCTCTGATGACACAAATTTGCTATAATATAATTAATAACTTGCTTAAAGACGGAAATAAATTAGTTTTTCTTCTCAATTCCACGTCAATAATTTTCTTTTCCAGCTTTAAACGTGACCCCGAAAACGAAAAAGGCCCGTCTTCTAGGTTTTAGGTTATGAGATGGGTCGGTAACCCACTCATAAATTACGCACTTCCTGCCCAGTTGTTTCAAAGGTCACACTCTGTTAGCAAACGCGAGCTCTGAAAATCTATAAATTAAATAAATCTTAATTGGGAATATCAAAATAATAATGTCACAAGACCAGTTAGTGCTTGAAGATGGCTGCAATTGCTAATTCAGAATTTGTTTTTACAACACCACCAAAGCACCTTCGCATTTATAAACGATACCTGTAGATGGAGCATTGTATTTCTGTAGACACTAGAGTAGTAAACCATCAGTCTGTTACGGGTATGACCAATGACCACTCATTTTAACAATTCTATATATAACATGTTATTCACGGGGCACGTATTTGTGTGGGG